TTTATGTAGTATAGAAGTTACTTGAGGACATGTAACATGTAAGTTTAGGGGATTTTGATACACCAAAAATGTATACATTTTTAGACCCATATTTTATACTCATTTTTGGTGATATTGCACTTTAATGAGGGTATTTTGATGTTTTCTCGCAGGTTGTTAATTTTTAGGACTTAAAGCAAAAAGAAGGCAACAATGATGAAATTTAGAGTAAAAAATTATGTTTTTGGAGAAATGCTCAGCACCGGCAGCGGCGAGGTCAGCGCCGACGGTGCAAAACAATTTAACGCTGGAGATTTTTTACTCAGCGCCGACGGCGCCAGACCAGCGCCAACGGTGGCAAAGGCGGTGCAGACCCCGTTTCTAGAAAGTTCGATGTATTTGGACGACTTTTTCAAGAGTATTTGGAGGCATCTCTTGGAGAACCGACCTTTGGCTCTATTTGAGGCCGAATTTCATCAGAAAATTCACTCCTCTATGTTTTTCACTCCTCTACGTTCATTTTTCGCTCCACATCATTCCACTCCACTATCATATTGGAGTCAATTAGTGATTTTGTTTTCATAGTTTAGAGTTTTTGTGGTGAGATTTAGTGTGAAACTTTCCATAAGAGTGTTGGAGAAGGAAAAAAGTGAGAGAGTTCTTCTTCCTGCATTTCTAAGGAAAGGCTACAAAGGATTTCTTTTACAACCTGTTTTCTTTTATATGTTATATATGATTCTAGCATGTTGTGATGTGTGTGGACATATACAACAACATACGAGCATGCATGTTGTTTCTTTATCGTTTATAAAATCTTTATTTAGACTTGATTATTTCTCTAAGATTGTTATTTTTTGTTCTGTATTGTTGACTTATAAGAATGAGTATGAAGCATTGGGACAAGTAGTCAAGTATGACTTGTATAGCTTTCGCATTTCATAATTTTGAGAGTGTACAGACTTTTTGGGTATGTATTTAATTTATTTTGTGTTTATCAACTTTGTATTGAGATATATGTTTTGATGATATGATTTCAACACTTTCAAGTATATACATGTGAATGAATTATGAAATAAATATTTCAAGTGTGTTTGCGACGATTTAGTTAGATTAATTCATCACTTATTGAGTCCTTATTCTACAAATTAGGATGATTGCTGATGAGAATTTAATCTAATTGAATTGTCAACCTCTACCACATTATAACCGACCCTTAAAGGGATTCCAATTGGAGTGTGATAGAGGAAGACGTATCGTGTGTGCGAGAGGCTATCAAACCATAGCCAAAGGAAGGAGAAGGAAATAGGAGATTGCCTCACCCGTACAGTTCTAAAGTTGACTCGAGCTCGAAGAAAGATGGGGAGGCCGCTAATGCGTGTGCAAGATTGAGGAGTGGCTTTGTGTGAAGGATTAAGTAAAGGGAGCAGCTTTGCTTGTGAGATAAGAAAAGAACCGAGCCTCAAAGTCAAGCAAGCCACGTGCGAGTTAAAGGAGGACCGAACTAAGTCTAAAGTAAATGTTAATGTTTATATTAATTTATGAATTTTAAATGTATGTTCAATTATAAAATGTTAATAGTAAGTTTAATCAAATGGAAATTTGGAAGTACAAAAAGTACATAATAATTACATTGGATCGAGGAATGTTAGAAATATTGTAGGGAAGGGAGAAGTTTTATTTATGCAAGTTATTTTAGTTCACTAATTAAATATTAAAAAGTTATATTAAATTATATGAATTAATCACAGTAATTATAACTTATAAAGTAGTTTAATTAAAATATATGAGAGATTGGGATCATTGCTTGTGCAAAGAAGAGGGGATGATGAGGAAAGGATGGAGTTTACTTTTATTAACATTGTTGAAGGAAAATTTTTATTTATGATTATTTACTTATGAAGAAATGTAAAGCATGATTTATAGGTAAAATAATTTGTAAATGATCACTTCGTAACTGAGGTCTTTTTAAGACAAATCTTAGTAGTTGCTTTTTTATTGGTATTAAATTAATGATTAATTTAAAAGTTGTATTTTATGGGTAAAAGCTTATAATAACATTGATAAAAATGAACTTTCAATGTTGTTTAAAAAAAAATTTTCATTTATGATTTGAATTTTGAATGTTTGAAAGATAAAGGAAATGAAAATGAAAAAGATGGATCTTCGAATGTAAAATTTTGAGGATACCTATAAATACAAACTTTTGAGAGTACTTAAAGATACAAGCTTTTGAGGATACGTTCGGATATGACAGCGATTCTGATATGGCTTCTTAAAAAAAGATAAATGTTAAAAAGATAATGAACTTAAATTGAAAAAGCAAAAGCTAATTTAAGATGACAGTTAACAATTCAACTAATTAATGAATCACATTTATTTAGGACATTCATGCATAGAATTTACATTTTAATTTAATGCATAATAAGAATATAATTACTCACTAAGTTTTGGTAACTTAATTGCTTAAATTAATTGTTCTTTCCGGTAAAACTCTAGATTGATAAAACTAACAAGAGAGCTGGTTTATAGGACTACTATACTAGGTAGTAGGTTATTTGATATGATTTTAGTTTCTTGTACTACTTTTTTCAGATTGATCTTACACTATTGGTTGGACTACGATATTACTATCTTGTAACTTTGGTTGGATTAAATTACTGCCTAGTGCACTTTGTGGTTTTTATTTGTTCTTTTTATTAACTGGACCATATTATCACTGTGATAGCAAATAAATGACTAACATTAATGAAAATATTTTAAAATGGAGAACTGCATTATATTTAATCCATTTAAAAAATCATTTTTTATAATACCAAACATATTTTCTATTGACAAAATAAAATCCTCCAATATTTAATAAATTTTCACAAATATTTTTGTCAAGTTGTTTTAAAAACACAATTACTTTTAATTTTTTTGGGACTTTTATAATAAACCAAACATGTTTTAAGATATCAAATTTACTTTATCTCAAAACAAAATAAAATAAAATAAATATAAAAATGATCACAAAAAAACCTTTAGTTAATTTAACAAGCTCGAACAAGATTTAAGAAGTTTGACATAAAATTGAACATTATCCTACTTGTTCATTATTTTTCATGAACATATTTGTTTGAAGTTTAAATACATGCTCTCTAAGAAATTAATTAAGTACTCATTTGATGCTTTTAGTTATTAGCATATTTAATTCTCATTCCATGTCCATATACTAAAACAAACTAAATGTATACCGTCTGTTTGTTTTAGTTGGAATCTATTAATCAAAATAACAAAAAGACAAACATGCGTTACAATCAAATAGTCACATAATTTTAAATATATTTTTTATTTCTATTACAATTTGAAAGTAAAAGAAAAAACAAAAATTGAATTATGTGAATTTCTCGTGAATAATTATATATTAGATAAACAAAGTTGAACGATTAAAAGCTAGTATCTCACATAAATTTAATTATGAATAATTAAGGCTCAAATAGAGACCGAGTGAAACTGAATCGACTTCCTTAACCCTTCCCTATTTGACTTCGGGTCCGTTTGGAGCGGCTTTTCCTGTGCGGTGCGTCAGAAGGCAGTGGAAATAAACCGTTTGGAGCGGCGACCGCGAATCTGAGCGGAAAGCGGACAGCGGGTGAGACCCCGCAGCCCGCGTTACTGCTCGATTATTTTACTCCCTTACCCTTCGTCTTTGATTAGGAAGGTAGGATCGCAGCATGCGATGATCTTCGAAACTCCCATCGTTCTCCCTTTTCCCCTTTCCGCTCTGCTCCTACCTGAAACCATTGAGGAAGAAGCCCTACACCAAGCCGAGCTCCATGGAGGGGATTGTCGGTGTGTTCCTTCACATTAACTTTATAGAATCCCATGTGTAGGGTTTGTTTTGGTAATGTTTTAATTCTGCACTATTTTTAGCAATCTTGCTATTCCATGGGCTTGCTTTGTGCAAAAAACACACAAAATTTATATACCAGACATGCACGCACTCCATGTTTTTTGTGATAAATCACTCTATGAGAATAGAGACTATTTTCTCTTATGCAGCACAACATAACATTATTTGATAAAGCTTAACTTTTTTTTTAAACACCCTGTTTTTTATGTTTCTTTATAGCGAGAAAAATGGATACTTTCTCTACAAGAAACTTAGCGATGGTGATCATGAATGGATAACATCACTGGTGGAAAGTTTAGCACAGGAGCTATACCGTCTGAACGTTCAAATTAATATAATCATCTTATTTATTGCTATTTTAATAGTTTTAAGTTTTTTTTTTTTTTTTTTGCAGTCTTGATACTCACTGTGAAGTGATGTATGTATTTATAATTTTGTACTGTTTTTAAGTGAACTGTTGTCTTAAAAGTATTGAATTTATGACTATTACAGTTCTGTTAATCAAAATATTACAAAACAGGGGCAGAATGGTCATTTCTACAGAAACAGCTACATCACAACTGTTTTCACGCAGCTGCCCTAAACAGACAGCCAGCTTCCCCACAACAACTTCCCTGCAACAGCTTCTATGGCAGGGGGGGGGG